AATGTGGGCCTGGCTAGAGTCTTGCCTGGGCTAAAAGTTCAGGCCCGGGGCAAGTCTAGGCTTAGCTCAAAAGAATCTGGGTAGGTTTCAGTTTAGCATGGCTCGTTCTGAGCCTATCCCATTAACAACCCTACACTCAACTATCAACTATAACACACCTTCTCGGGGCCCTCTGATTTCCCGCTTGTCCAATAGCTAAGGACTTTAGAAGCCACAATAGTGTTCACTACTTGGCCATGTTATCGACCCTATGGAAATTCTGATATTCCTCTTGACACCCCCAAAATTTAGCAAGGGACTATGACACCATATCATGAAGAGACATAAAGCCCAAACGTTAAGCAATCGCATAGAAAGCCACACAAAATCTAGTTGATAAATGCGACAAAAGACACATCACCAAATCCCTAGAAGTCACAGCAAAGTATTACGCACTCGACTGCGCATCATATGCATGTTCAAAGATTGAAACTCCCCAATTCTCAGGATGGCAACAGTTTCTGAAAAATAGGAACCCCAAAACAAACCTTAATGAACAAATGCTACTTTAACATTTCGATAACCCTACTCAACTCCTTTCTCAATATAGGGACCACAACACTTTGAAGACAACAAGATTTCCTTATCACGCAGATGATCAACTCTTTCTCAGACTCCACCCATGAGTAAAGGACATAAAACAATTTTCTGGTGCCTCTAATGTTTTTTTCCTTCTTTGTGGTTTTTGGTAAACTTCTTTTTTTTCTTTTTTTTTGTTTTGTTTTAGTACTTAGGGAAATTATTAGAAATATACCTTAATTTTCATCTATTTAGAAAAAAAATCCCCATACTTTCATTAACCTCATCCATATCCTTTTTTCTCATTTTAACTTTTTTTTTTACTAAAATAGCCTTCACGGTAGTCGTATTACCGTGAAGGTAGCATAATTACGATACTTAAAGTACCGTAATACTAAAGGGTTTCATTACAGTATTTTAAGTAGGCTTCATTAGGGTACTTTAAGTACCATAATACTCGACTTTCAGTCTTTGAAAGAGCTGAATTGGGTCAATTTCATCAGAGACCTTTCTCTTTCTACCATGTTACCCTCCTCATCACTCTCTGACTCTGCACTATCTTCACCCTCTCTCTAATTCATCATCACTATCTAGATCAGCAGCATTGGCAAGAGCGGATCCATCGAAATCATAGACCAAATCTGCCTGGTTTTGAACCAGAGGACCCAAGTTCAAAATTCGACGAAGATCTCTGTGAAAACCCCAATTGACCAAGCGTGCAAAGATGGGTTGGTCAGAAGATTGAAGAAGCTGGTTTGAAACTTCTTTTATCTCTCTAAAACTAGAGATGGGGTAGCAAAAGTACCTTATGGAATCGGAAGCTAAGACATGGGTTATGATCTTAAGAGCACATAGAGAGTCGGCATCCGAAGTGGAAGGGAAGATGAGCAATGGGTTAGAGAGAGAAAGAGATGCAAAGGATTTTAATTGGTCATAGAATGATTCGATCTGCACTCTCTTACCATTGTTTCTCAAAGGAGAATATACAAACCGTACAAATAGGTTTCTCTCTCAAGACCCAACTTCAAAATCATTAAAATGCATTAGCAGTTTACAAGGAAACGATGGTTTCTCACTCTAAGCAACTGTCTGATTCAAAAATGGGGGTTTCTATTGTATTGTGGGGAATTGAAAGGAACAAACTGCGAAAAATTGGGATCCAAATTCATCAAAATTTGGGATCATTATCTCTCTCTGAGAAAAAAATTGCCAAGGCTAACAAAAATTCAAGTACAATCTTGATCAAAAACTCCCATCAAAATTGTACATAGAAATTGATCGGGTGAGCATGAAGCCCTTTAGCATTAAGGTACTTAAAGTACCGTAACGAAGCCCTTTAGCATTACGATAGTTAAAGTACCGTAATTAAGCCTACCTTCACGGTAATACGATACCATGAAGGCTATTTTGGTAAAAAAAAATGCCAAAAAAGAGAAAAAAGGTATGTACAAGGTCAATGAAAGTATTGGGTTTTTTTTTCTAATTAGGTGAAAATTAAGGTATACTTTTTTTTTTTGATAACTATTTTTTATAATTTCCCTAGTACTTATTGTTAACTTCAGCCATCTCATTGCTAATAACAATACACATTCCCTAGTTCATTGTGCCCCAATTGTTTCACCTTTTCTATTTGGGGTGATGTCAATTTCCCGATCTCCCTCCTCTTCTCTCACAAATTCTGGCCTTTTCTCCTCTAGCAAAGATTTGGCCTAGGGCCAGTAGCTCACATACCATCTCTTGAATCAAAATGCTCATTGCTTGGCTTCTTCTAGCAAGTCATGAACGCCAACAGTCGAAAGGCCCCACTAACACAAGCATCCTACTTGACTACGTGTCAAGATTTCTAAGAAGAGGCATCAATGCTTCCACATAAAAGACACTTATCTAAGGGATTATAAGTGTTATCTGGTAAATTTCTTCATTTTTCTCAAATATGAACACTTCTACTTGTCATGTCGTATTACTTCATGGCATTTCAACATATCACATATCTTATAAGTAAACACTGGCCAAACAGATTTTGACGTACACAATTTCAAAACAGGCATGCCACCTGATGTCAAGAAATGAGATGGAGATGTTTCCATATTACAATAGATGGAAGTAAAATGCGAAGCTACAGATATAATTCAAATCTTCCAATGAACAACTTTTACAGCCAAGATATCCACTTTTAAGTATGCAATTGAGGAATCAAAACACAGACCAGAAATCCATTTGCATATATAGGAAAACCAAATGACACCAATAAATTGGTTCAGTTAATCATCAACTCTCTGCAAAAAAACCAAACACCCCTGCCTATTTGTGTCAGTTAATTTTAACTGCATTTAACCTCTCATCCACTTCATGAATAGATGGCATATCGGTCCCTTCATCAACCCCAGGCTGATCTGTGACATTCACCTTATCATGAGCGTCATCAAATTGCTCTTTTGGGCACATTCAAGTAGTGGGCCTTTATTCAAGTCCACATCTCAATCATGAGGAAATGAACTAGCATAATTGGTAGATTTTGATAATGAAATGCTTCCCAACTGTGTATTTCCACCCTTCCCATTCTTAGATCAGATTCTGAAGCCTGCATGTCTCGAGCCAAGCAGCCCATAAATGCAGATGGAGGGATCTCTTGAGACTTTCTCCTCTTGTGCAGTAGTTTCCAGGGCATAAGAGGTATGGCAGTAGATGGCAATTGTCCCACCAAGTCTCTGTGATGACAAGGTTCTAGAGGGATCTCTTGAGACTCTCTCCTCTTGTGCAATGGCCACTAGGGCATGAGGTACGGCAGTAGATGGCACACTCTCTCCTCTTGTGCAGTGACCACCAGGGCATAAGAGGTACGGCAGTAGATGGCAATCGTCACACTACGTCTCTACGGTGACAAGGTTCAAGAGGGATCTCTTGAGACTCTCTCCTCTTGTGCAGTGGTTCCCAAGGCATGAGACGTACGGCAGTAGATGAAATCGTCTCACTAAATATCTGCAGTGACAAGGTTCAAGAGGGATCTCTTGAGACTCTCTCCTCTTGTGCAATGGTTCCCAAGGTATAAGAAGGATGGCAGTTTACGCCCATCAAGAGAAGTCATGCTGAAAGGGTCTTTGATGGAGCATTTGTTGTTCCAAGCTCGTCTCCCCCTCCACATCGTTCATTATGTTTATGAGTAGAGGAAAAAGGTTGTTATCTGTTTCAGCCATCTCAAACTCTTCTCTCCCGGTACTCTGAAAGCACTTGTTCCCCTCACTCTCTCTCTTGCCTCTACTTAAATATCGCCCTTTCTTTCCCCTCTCATTCTCCTCCTGTCAAATCTCACCCCCTCTCTCGTCCTCGAATTTCCCTTCTCGGTTTTCTCTTGTTAAATCTCGACCCCTCTCTCCAACTCAAATTTCACCTCTTTCCCACTCTCTTTTTTGGATCTGATCGCTTCCCCCCCCCCCCTTGGCTGAGTCAAGCCTCTCTCTTTCCCGGATCTGATCCAAGAAGCAACCACACCTCAAAACCTCAGTAAATGGGCTCCATTTTAAATTCTCAATAAACTCAAACTAAAATGAAAACTACAAAGCATCATCCTTAAATGTTTGAATTCCAAATGTCAGGTGAACCTGGTTTCTCCTAGGTGTTCTATTAAATTAAAATAGTTTAACCCATTTTTTTTAACATCCATTGACCGAAGTGGTTTAGGAAAGAAAATAAGGAAATAAGGGGAAAAAAAAGGATCATCTGGAGATGCATGACCTTCACAAATTGAATTCCTCTCATTAAACAAATGAATAAGCTCAAAATCCCAAAAATTTCATTATTTTATGTTAATACAATATACAGTCACCTTTATCAACAAAAAAAAAAACCTTTTAAATTCAACAAGAAAAAACATTGGAGAGGTTAATGTGAAGTTGGGATAAAACCACTTTTTTCTTCACCTCATCAGCCAACGAAACATCATTAACAAAGAACAAAACAACCAAATAAAATATTCCAGAACAGCAAGATAAAGTGACATCAAACTAACAATTTTCACACAAAAAATGCAACATTGCAGAAAAATCACCAACATGCTTGCAGCATATCAAAACGAACCTGGATCAAAACTACAGAAGTTGCAAGGAATTTGTATTTTGCATATAAAATAAAAACAAGAAACAAAAGAGAAGAAAATAAAAGGAAGAAACGTGCAGAACAAAAATAGAAACCCTAGGTCAACCTCAGAAATTCCCCACCAATTCCTCGTTGTCAAAGAAAAAGCAACCAGAAAATACACAAAAAAAACAGCTCACTGATACAAAATTCAACATAAAATCCTAGCTAAAGGTTGCAAATTTGCGCAAAGGTTGCAAATTTGCGCACAAAATCAAACAGTTTGAGCCCGGACACGTTCCATGAGTATCAAACTAAATCAACATCATAGTGCCTTCAGTAAAAAAATAAGAAAGAAAGAGAACACATACCAGAAAACCCGGAACTCAGGAACCCTACAAGAGCATCGTTTGTTTCCCTCACTCTATCATTTGATGGAGAAGGTTTGATACATAGCAAACTACTCTCTTGTTGAAAAATACTTTCCAGTTAATTACAGAAGAATTACTAAAATTACTTTTTCACGCTTTTTCTCTTTTTATATTATTTTTACATGGGTGTGGTTTGTATAGATCCGAGGCTCTATACAATCAAATTAGATCCCACTTTGAAATAATATTGAGAAATATGGTTTCAATAGTAGAAAGTTTTGTGATAGCCTTAAATTATATTTTTATCTTTAATTAACAAATTTAAAGCTTCAAAAATAGTGTAGATCAAGCAGATCTGTACGACAACTTGAAAATATTAAAAACTAATGGTCCAAAAATACTTTATAAGATGCACTATTTCTAAAACTTGAAATCTATTTTTTTCTCATGTCCATTCATCTTGATATCGAGATGATCAATTTGATGATATTTTGACATCAAAACAACCTCTTCTAGAGAAAATTTTGGGTTAAGCTCTAATTTGATTGTTTAGAGCTCGGTTCTATATAAACTTTCCCCTTTTTACATTTCAATGGGATAATCTCTCTAGCTTGGAATTTGACCAATTAAATTTCGAAATTTTGTCCAAGTTTTACCGAAATTTCGGAATAGTGCTAAATCATTTGGATATATTTTGGGGCGTAGAGATAGCGAGAGGCCAAAAGATATTGTGGTCGCGTAGGAGCATAGTGGTCTATTTGCTCTCTTGATATAATTTAGAGGTACGATTATTTTGAGGACCCCAAATTCGGAGGATAACCTCTGGAACATAGCAATAAACTTCAAAAGAAAAAAATTCAATTCATATATTTTATGTGCTTTACAAAACTACCAGGAGCATCTAATTTCTAGAGGACAAGATCTAGGCGTTAAAGACTCAAAATTCATTTTTTTATTTAAAAATAATCATCCAATAATTTTTAGTTAACCCTTGTTTAAGTAAGCAACTCTTGTTAGAGCAAGACAAGCCACTCACTTCCCCCAAAATGCGGAGTAAGTTTTCTCAAAGAAAAAATATGTTTCAAGTGTATTTAAGATTTTTCAAGTGCATAAAGAGTGAAATTAGAAGAATTTTTTTAAGATTAGTATGTGTTTAATAGATTACATCCCCAAATTTTGAGGTCCTAAAATTGCTCCTAAACTGAGTTTTACCCATGGGACAGTATGTTTCTACTAAAGTATGAAATCTTTTGTCTTGACATTTATAACAGTCATATTTATATATCAAATGGTGACACACAAATCATGTGGGTTATATCACAAGGCAATTTTAAGTTTGAAATATCAAATACCCATGTTTGTGTCACCATGTCGTACATATTGTGTCTAAATGACAAATTAAATTTTACATTTATGACATTCATATTAATGCCTAACATACATATCTAATTTGTAGCATAGATGGTTGATAGCTCATTTGTTGGGTTTATGTGGCCTTTAAAGGCCTTATGAGTGTGTATTGAAACATTTTTATAGTGAAACATAAACTCAATAGGACTATGATCCCTCGAAGACCGTACTAAACAAGTGATGTTTGCTTATGCCAGACTGTGCTTATCGATCTAGGCTTGTCGGTTGGAAAACCCAAAGTACCTGGGTATAAAGAATTGAACCAATGAGGGTTTTGGGTTAGCCCTTGATGAAGCTGGAGCTTATGTCTAGATGAGTGAGCCGAGGAACTGTGTGACCCTTGTGTGTGATGGTAGGCCTACTCAGACGGGGGCCAAAACCTCATCTATGTTCTATCACACGGCATGCATATCGATAGATCGTTCGGGAAAGCCAGATATCTACCTTTGGGCGAAGCGTATGCATATACGAGAGACCCCTATGCACCATAGAGTTGTAGTTGCATCAGATCGTGGTGACCTTGACTTGTCTTTAGGGGAGGACCTGTAATCCACATACTGGGATTGCGACCCCTTGATTCACCGACCTGACTTTGATGACCCGCTAATGAGCCCTTGCTTGGACTGTGGGTCATGGAAAACACTGGGTCGGTTCGATAAAGCTAATGTGGTCTGTAGTCCATAGTTGAAGGTGGAGTACCTCATTATTACAGATTGAATTTCTAAAACCATATGGATTATTTTCCCATCATATTAATTTAATTGTGTTCATTTTATTATTGAAATGTTTTTAGTTTTATTATTTGAATTTTTATGAATCTCTCAATATTTTATTTATGTTTTTTGGACTTATAAAAATACGGTTGTTGATTTTACAATATTATAAAATTTCATAAATTATATTGTTTAATTTTAAAATTGTTTGTAAAATTCCATGGGGGGCCCAAAGTGCACATGAACCCACCATGTGGCATGTGGGTGGGGGGCCCACATGTGCCACAAAGGGTTGGCACGCCCCAACCCTTAGATTCTCTTGTTGCTTTGTGTTCAAGTTTATTAAATATAGTAACTTTGATTTGTGGCATGTGGTCAAATCTTGGAATGGAAAGATTGACCTTATCTTATTTAGTAGTATTTATTTGTTTGATAATTATTGACATCCTTGTGGAATTTGTGACATGGATTGTGCAATCTTATGGAATGCATGATATTTATTTTATTTAAATATATTGATGCGAAAATGGTTTAAGAAAAGGGAATAATGGTCCAAGTACATTCCATAATGTTGATGGCGCATCTATGGAATGGATGATTTAGATCTTTCACCCTACAAGTTACATTGATCAACAGTCTAGTTTCAATCTTATGAAAGAAACAAACTATAGGAAAACCCTAAACTAAATATCCACTATAAATAGGGGTGCTCTCCCCCCAACTCTCTACATACAACCTCTCTCTCTCTTCTCTCTCTCACATCTCTCTCTCTTTGAGGGGCACACCCACTCTCTCTCCTCCATATTTCTTTTTCTAACTTCCTCTCTCTAAAATCAGCTATCTCGGTTCGAGATTGAACCTAGACTATAGATCCCGTGCCATTGGATGTGGTGAATCGGTGTGGAGTATAAAAAGCCCGGTTGAGGTAATCTCCGGCATATTTTCTTTTATTTGTTTGTTATTTTATTTTATATTCTCAAGCACAATATTAGGTTGTATGAATGGCATCAAGTAGTTGAGATTTATATTATTGATGTGTTATTTATTTTTAGAATTTCTATTGTTTGTAATAAGACCATTTGTGAATGATCTTGTTGCCAAAATTATAAAGGGTGATTATTTCTAATAAATAAATAAATAAATTGTATTTCCCTGGCAAAAGATCACATAGGTATTTCTTTCATCATTCCCACTAACCATGTGACTAACAAAAGACCCACTAACCATGTGACTAACAAAAGAGGGAATTGGTTAAGTAATTAAAGAATTGAAGTCAATGGGTTAGGTTTAGATGACAAAAAGTCCCACCATTGTGTTTATCAAAATAGGAGAATTGTTCTACAAGTTTGGATGTAAAGACAGAGTGGCTGGTGCTGGTGAGGAGAGAGAGAGAGTTTCTAACATTCAAAGAGAGAGAGGCCTATACACAGTGAGAAGGGAGGAAAGAGAGAGGAGAGAGTTTCAAAATTCAAAAAGAGAGAGAGAGAGAGAGAGGTCTATACTCAAGGTGAGCAGGGAAGAAAGAGGTGTCTATGCATGAGCATGTAAAAGAGAGAAAGGGAGGAGAGAGATTCAACATTCAAAGAGAGAGAAAGAGAGGTCTATATACCTAAGGTCAGAAGGGAAGAAAAGGAGAGGGGTTTATAGCCTATACGTATGGGTGAGATGGGAATAATCCACTGTTGAAAAAACTAGACGATTTAACCACTAACCTCCTGATTAGAGCTAGTGTGAAGCAGTGCATATGGTTGAGTGCGATAGACAAGCACTCGAGGCACAAGGTTTAGATATCTTTGGTGAGAGAAAGAAAGCAATAATCTAGTCTCAGCTCTCGGGTCACCACCTTGGGGGAACTCTCTTCTCTCTATTATCTAATTCAATCTTTTCTCCTATTTCTTATACCCATGAGAACTATCTGTTCTTTTTGTAGGGGTCACAACTGGTCAGGTCATGTTCGGGTTAGGAATAAAAAAAAAAATTATTATAATATACATTTAATATTGCTTAACTCATATAGTTATATATTTTACATATGGACACTATTAGCATGTGACCAAGCCTGTATAGGTAGAAATGCAAAGCCCTCAATAAATTTATTTTTAAAATAGAATTGGATCTTAACCATCAGAGGATATATATTATTTAAGATGGAGATCATGAATATGAAATAAATAAATAATTTTTGTAAACTATAAATAATAATTCTATTAAAAAAACATTTGGACCATTAGTTTCAAATTTTTTAGATGAACCACCTATTTGCATCCATCTTTTTATACCTTTGGACCGCATATTGCACAAATGCAGTCCAGCTCGCAAGAAACAATTGTTCTTTATATATATATATATATTTATACCGGGGCAAGTCCAAGCTAGATCTGATAAGAGTCCAAGCTAGACCTGGACCCATGTGGGCTGGGTAGGATCCAAGTCATTGGGACTCAGACCCAACCCACGTGGTATAACATCTAGACCCCAACCCAGACCAGACCCAGTTTGACTCGACCGACCCAATTTTCACCCCTACTTCTTTTGATAGGTTGAAGAGAAACTTGCTTCTCTCTGGGATATTAGAAAGAAAGAGACCCGTCTTTAGGCAAAAGGTCAAGCTCCTCCCTCTCTTTAGAGAGAGATCAAGTGTCTAGGCAAAAGGTCAAGGTCGCTCTCTCTCTCGTGTCTGAGAGAAAGGAATGTTGGTGTCTCTGAGTTTGGTGTCTGAGGTAGAAAAATGAAAGTTAAGAACTCTCTCTCGGGGGTAGAGAAATGAGAGTTAAGATCGATCTGTCTCTCTCTCTCATACACACATTTACAACATTTGTGAAGACCCTGTCCTAGTTTATGCAACCAGAGCAGCAGCCCAAAGCTTCACAGATCAATAGAAAATGCCATGAACCTAACATGTATAAAGAATCAAAGCCATTGTCTCTTGCTCTTTTCTAACCACTCCCAAATCCATTTCTCCTATCCCAACTTCATTCACCATAAAACCTCCATTTCTCTTGGTAAGCATCATGAAGAAACAAATACTAATAACTCGAGAAATACATAGATGATGACATCATTCGTAATTTCATACAATTGATCAGGATTCACCAACTCAAAACCAAATTCGATTTAGCCAAAATAGCCAAATACTTCCGAATTATTATAATTCTGCTGAGCTCATATTAGAAAGAAGATTTTCTATCCATATAACAAGTAACTGAAGTCCAGGCAAAAAATATCTAGTGAAACAAGAGATATGAACATGAAACTCGAGATTCTCAAATAAAAACACCAGAAAGCATCACGCATCTGGACTGGGGGTCTTCACGATGAAATTCTGGCGACTTATCGGGTTCATCACAACTGGTGGGCCGGCAGTGCGAGGCCAAGCTTGAAACTTCCTGTCAGTTTCTTCCCACCACTCTGGACGAGTCATAGTACTCGGGGTGGTCCCTGGTTATAAGCACAAAATCAGGGACCATGACAGCAAGAAGATGGGGATGAATCTGTCTCTCTCTCTCTCTCTATATATATATAAATATATACACACACACACACGCACATGCACACACACATCTCTTTGACACAAAAATTCACTCTCCTGTCAGACATCTCATATCTCTCTTTCACAGACGGGTATCTCTCACACGCACGCAATCATTTGTATCCCTTCCCTACAAATGCATCTCTCTCTCACACACACACACACGCAAACACACGTACTCCTCTTTGGCACAAAATTATATCTTCTCTCACATACACAGTCATCTCTCCTCTCTCAGTCATCTGTCTCTCTTGTCTTCACACAAACATCTCTCCCCCCCTCTCTCTCTCACACACATACACCTCCCAGTTTCTCTCACACACACACAAGGAGAAGAGAGCTACAAACTAACCTCCAAATAGCTTCTTATCAGAAATCACATAATCTAGTGCAAAGCCAAGTACACCAGAACCAACTACAGCCAGGATGATTGACTTGGCAGTCATTTTCAAACTGCAGAAAGAAAAAATATGGAAAAACTATTAGAATTGACTATTGCGCATAGCTAACATATTCTGAAAACAAATATTGAATCGAATGGGGCCAAAAGGGGCAACTTCATCTTTCAATGTCTCTTTCAAAATGGAAGGTGGATATTAACCTTCTCTGAATGCATCTCATTGGAAATTACAGTTAATCTCCAAAATCCATAATTTTTTTTTCTCGTCCTGCTAATAGGTTAGCTTATTTAGATTCCTGGGACAAGCTTCAAGTGTTCAAACTCTTTACCACAACAAACAATCTGATGTCTCCTACTGAACCAAAGTTTTCTAAAGGAAAGCACTCTACAGCTTCTAAAGCAAGCTAAGAATTATTAATTCAGAAACGTATTTTACAATTCTTGTGTGTGTGTGTGTGTGTGTGTGTGTGAGAAAAGTCTTAAAAATGCTGTATATATATATATATATATATATATATATATATATATATATATGAAAAGTCTTAAAAACGCCCATAGGCTATTTGCTATAGTGTTTCCCCCTCGTCGACGGTTTTGCCTTAAAACCGCCACGGATCTACGGGAGCTGTGATTTTTGTGTCAATTTTGCGTGAAAAAAATCCTGTCACGGACATACTATATCCGTGACAGACCGCCATAGATCTACTATATCCATGACGGTCTTTAATCGACGCCGTCGGAAAAAATTGGACGGCGCCGAGCCTATGGGCGAAAATACTGTTCATTTTCTCCCATAGGCATTTGTAGTCTCTTCCATATAAATATATATACATATATATATATATATATATATTTATCTTGTTCTTGGATCTGGATTTGCCAGTATCCTGATTTCATATCAAATTTTGAAAATATACATGCTTGAGCAATTCTGTCTAATAAATCTTTTTTATTTGGAATTGGATATCTTATCCATTTTAACACTTTCTTTAATGGTTTATAGTTTATTACCAATCTAGGAACTCTTCTTTATTTTTCAGCATTTTTATTCACATAAAAAGCTGCACAACTCCAAGGTGAAGAACTTGGTCGTATGAGCTTTCTCTGTAGGAGTTCTGCGATTTCTTTTCTACACATTTCTAATAAAACAGTATTCATTTGTATTGGCCTAGCTTTAGTAGGGATTTGGCTTTCAGTGAAGTTTGGTTCATATGGTAAACTGGTAAAGAATTAGAAGACCCGGGAAGATGTTCAATGGAGAAATCAAAAGCAGAGAGAATAGCCTGCCATCGGGCAAATATTTGTTTAGAAATCAAATTTTTAACATCTTTTTGCAGAATATCTTTGGCTGCTTTGCAGTCTGTTCGTATAAGAAAAGGTTGGAACTATTCCACAGTGGAACTGTGC